AAAAAAAAACTGTAAGAAAACAATATGACTCCCATTTACACTTCGCGTGCGGGGGTCATAATGAACACGTAGATCATAGATTTCATGTTGAAATTGAATATCTGAATGAAAAATATTTGAAACAAAAAATGCTGTAATGTAACAGCCTTGTTTGTATTTTAATGCTCTACACACGTGTAAATCACCAGACTTATCATGGGACAGTTTCATATTGATTTGCTTGGAAGACATTGAGGATATCAGAAAGTCTGTCATGATACAATGTTGATTTAATTCAATTCACAAGTCTGTGATTGGCATGACGCAAAATCATGTATCATATAACAAAATCAGTTAGTGAATGATTGTGTTAGATGGGTATGAAATCAATCCAGATCAGACATATGATGACAAAACGGATCAATGTTTTTGTTTTTCCAAGATGTAATTAATTCAGTAATCATTTAATAAATATATCAATGTTTCGTTATACCCCTACTATACAATTAACATTTTTAAACCAATTTTTGTTTTGTTTATGCTGCTTAGGTGGATGTGTATGATGAAGGCTCTTACACCTGCTCCATACAAACTAAGCAGCAGCCCAAGACTTCGCAGGTTTACCTCATCGTACAAGGTAAGCTACAATCAGCTGTTTAAAGCAGTGGTTCCTTACTTTGGGTGGGGGGGGGGGGGGTGTCCATGGCCCAGGAGCACACTAGTAAGCTCATGGGTGAGGTGCCAGACTTTAACGACACAACGATTGTCAGTACGTTCCAGATGGTTCTTAAAGTCTGGGTGGAAGTTTCATTTCATTTATAACTCACAGAGCTTCTTTGCACAATTGGTTCTATATTCATGGAATTAAAAGAATGAAAAGTGATAAAAGAAATCAAACACTTTTATATGTGACTTGTCCTTGCTGACATCAATTTCTTTACAAAAAGCCCAACTAACAGATGCAGCATCCTAAAGAAAACTATCTGCAAACTCCAGCACACAAAAACTAAAACATAACACTTAAAAACAAAACTTTTGGTTGATGTTTGCTTGCAACTTTACACACTGTCAAATACCTTGAGCACAAGAATCATTTTCATTTTTCTGAAGTTTACAGACAATTCAAGACAGGACATCCCCACACATTTACATTCCTTCATTAGGGAAAAAAAAAACAGTGTTGGGCACCACTGGTTTAAAGGATCCACATGCATTCATATCAGCTCCTTGAACAAAACACAATTATGTAAAAAAWTTTATAAATATGTGCAATACAAGTACATTTTTTTGTTTCAAAGAAATGTAATTATATTTTCTCATATCAAGAGTTTAAATCTCTGGTAAAATACGTTTTAGCAGCAGATACCATTGCCACTCTGTGGTAACAACGAATTCTAAGAGCTCTGAATAAATACTTTGAAAAGTAGAAAAGTGTTGCGTCACAAATGCATTCTTGAGGCAATAGATTTCTTTTTATGGTAAATGGTAAATGGACTGTACTTATATAGCGCCTTTCTATCCGTCCAGGACCCTCAAAGTGCTTTACACTGCAGACATTCACTCATGCACAC